AAATAAATCTGTGTGTGTGCATATATTAGGGCTGTCCCCGACTAAGGATTTACATAGTCGAATCAGAATTGTAAAGTCTTGCCTATAGTCGAATGATGGTCGAATCCTGTGTGTGTGTGTCGGGGGAGGGGGAGTTACACATGGTAGCTCTGCTTTAATCTTGAGAAGCTGCAGAGCTGCAGTCTCTGTTCATTGGTCACTGGAACTTACACTGTAACATTACATTTCCAGCTAAGCTGTGGCTTATTGTTGAAACTTCTCTCTCTGCTCTTGTCAACTTCCATTCATATTCTTGTGCAGAGTTTTGCATGCGGCCAACAATTACATGCACGTCGCACTTCCCTGCAGTTCTATTTCAACTATCCTAATGTTTAAAAATGTATAATATTGACATTGAGCTCCCACAGATAGCCAAATTGGCACTTCTGTTATCATAACCACATTGTGTGAACGACATAAGACAGTTTTACGCGTTGAGTTGGCCCGGAGAGTACCAACGACTGTAAAACAACCGTGTTTTTACAGCTTCCTTCAAAACTTCAAAATAAGAGTTCCAATGCAGAAGTTGCACCGAAATACCAAAATAAACACAAGAATAACAGAGTAACAAATGTTATAAAATAAACAAACTTGCTACTAATAAATGACGCTTACATTCCGGCCCCTAATTGTTAATGCTGCAACATAATGATTACATCTTTAACATTAAAGAGTCATTTATCTCAGAATTCAGGATTCATCACACAACACAACACACATAATTTATGTATTGGCCTTTCCAAAATGCTAGATTTAGTTTTGACAAATACACGTCTCAGAAGTCCATTTGAATCAGAAAGTATCCTTTCAACCTTTCCCATCAACCAGGAACTTCTTGGTGCACTGTCATCAAATAAAAGGACAACATCTCCTGGTTTCATATTTCTCCTTGTTACTGGCAGCAGTGGCAAGTACTCTTTAGTCCATTGCTTCCAAAAGATGTCAGACAGGTACTGCACCTGTTTCCACCTCCTCTTGCCATACAAGTCCTCTCTGTCAAACAGTCCTGATGGCAGCACAGGCTGTCCTTTAAGGAGAAGGAAATGGTTAGTTGAGAATGCTTCCAAATCATCTGGATCACTTGACACTTGTGTTATTGGCCTGCCTTTAACAATTGCCTCAACTTCACACAACAATGCATGAAGGGTCAAGAGGTTGCTGTTTCAGAATATGGTTGAGAACTTTCCTTACAGAACGTATCTGTGTCTCCCAGATACCAGCAAAATGTGAACCTGCTGATGGGTTGAACATCCAGGTAATGCCCTTTTGCATGAACATTTCTGAGTGGTTCCATCCTTGAATTGCTTCACATATTTTATTCTCTGCTCCCACCAGGTTTCGTTCCGTTATCTAATCTCACGACACACACTTCACCTCTCTTAGCAACAAATCTCCTGAATGTGTTTATGCACGAGTCAGTTTGTTGTGTGTTGGCAACTTCGATGTGAATTGCTACTAATGAATGCACTCGTATCATAACACCCACTGCAATGATTCGATGGTGAGATTGGCAGTCGAATCTGGCTCAACCTATCAAAGCATCGAAGCTTCGACTATTTGGGGTCACCCCTACTCAGGCCCAGATTAAGAAGTCAGAGGCCTCTGGGCACAAAGTTTTATAGGGCCCTCACCCGCCAACCCACATACATGCGCACGATCAAGGTTTTGAATTACAGGGTATTATTTGTTGGGAACACATCTAGTTTATACAGGACCGATCACTATTAAAAGAAATGGACAGACAGATTGTTCAATCATGTCATGAGTGTTGCAATTATTAACCAGATAACCTGTTGATAACATCACCACAAATCCACCACAAAACAAAGCAATCAGCTGACCAGAGTCGAGAAGAGCATTCAGAACCAATGATGGAGTTCACAATGAGTTGGTCATTTGTCATGTGAAATACATTAGGTATTCTGCTCATTTTCAGGTTCAAAATCTTATTTAGGGGTTGTACCAGAACAGGTTTGCATGATTTAATTTTCAAAAAACACCATATTTCTTTTGATACTGCACATTGCTGCAGCTCCTCTTTGTTTTAGCTATGGAGTGATACATCTTGTCTCTAAATGATCTTTGTTGGGAGTTGCATTTGTAATTAAGGACTACTAGCCAATCAGAAGCAGAGTAGGGCGGGTCAGCGAGAAGCCGGTAAACACGGCTTCAGTTCAGCTGTACATGTTGCCGACCAGCTTGGCAACATGGACTGGAGCAAGAGTTTCAGAGTGGTGAGTTATTAATCTGTAACAAAAGTATCTTTCATCCATAAAGTTAACTGAGCTCTGTCTCTACATCACAGGAACAACTTTATGTCCACTGACTGCTTGGAGGGTAGCTAGTGTTTGGAAGGGAGAGGAGAGCTGTGTGCTGCAGCTCACTGTTTTTCTTTGTCTGACTAGTTGCTTGGCGAGCGTTATATGAGGCGCATTTAGCTTTCATCCCTGTGATGTCACAAGGATGACATAACCAAGCTGGACTCCCAAGTGCAACAACCAAGAATACCAAGGCTGAGTGACCCCTGTGGAGGAGAAGGCTAGAGGCCAAGATCAAAGCGGAGACAAGTTAGTCAGCTCTCAGAGCTACAGAAAGGTGCAAGGAAGGGGTTACCTAAGAAATACAACAAGCTGTCTATACGTGAGGCACTGGAGGCTGCCAATCAAAGACTTACCACTCTGGCTACCCGCCTAAAGAGATACAAGGGAGAAGCAGAAGCCTGGAGAATAAATCGGATGTTCCCCACCAAACCATCCAAACTGTACTCTCAGACACCTCCTAAGGTAGTTGAGAATGACCGATCTAAGATCCTGTGGGACTTCAAGATCCAGACTGACAAACTGGTGATGGCTAACCAACCAGACATTGTGTTGATGAAGGCAGCAGTGATAATCCCAAGCGACAGCAACATCAAGAAGAAGGAACACGAGAAGCTCGAAAAATACCAAGGGCTGAAAGAAGAGCTAGAAAAGATGCGGAGAGTAAAAGCAACAGTGGTACCAGTATTAATCGGAGCACTGGGGGCTGTGACCCCCAAACTGGGAGTTTGGCTCCAGCAGATAGGAACTGCTAAGATACTGCGTAAAACCTTCAACACACATATACTGTATGTGTACAGTGTTACAAGTCTGAAAAGCAGCAACAGTCTTTCCTTATGTTTCACTTGAACAATAGGACATATTTGATAAAGCATTTCACTTGTCTGACCAAAACATTTACTTGTCCCGGACAAGTTATGATGTTAATTGTCAAGCCCTGCATGTTGCACTCACAAGCATTGAAGCTGGTGAACTGACACTGGCTAACACATTAACCCAGCAAAGTTCAGTCAGTTCAGGCTCAGTCATTCATTTGCAACAGCAAACTGAAAACTTGGTTTGAGAGAAAACCTGTCTTCCAGCTAGGCTAGGCCAACATGGCTTGCTAGCAAATTTACCACAAGTTGACACTGCCAACCGATTAACATCAGTTAATTTATATGTGTAATAATCATTAGGACTTACAATTAGCTACTAGCGTGGCATAAATCGCAGGACTCTCTGTCACCTGCTACTACAGTGCATTGTCTTTTCCTTTATACTGATATATAAATAAAGTGTTCATAGATCTATTCTTTTTTCCCAAAGTTACATCAATCTGCACATCTCAATCAATGACATGGAAGCATTATTATATATATATATTTTGACAGAAAGACTAGACATGGAATTGGGGGGAAATATCATGCATTTGTTTAATGAAAATATTTCGTCCTAGTTTTTGTCAGCGAAATTAACACAACAAGAATGAAGTTCTTATTAGGGAGCTCTAACTGTGATGGACATTGTGAGCTGGTCAACTCTAGTGTTGAGGAAGGTTTTAGGAAACTTAGGATAAAGCTTGACCGAGGAGAGTGGCATCAGCTACAAAGTGGGCAGAAACTCTCTGGAGGATGGCGGCCAGGGGGCAAAACCCTCTGGAGGTCAGGGAAACGCGATGCTGCTGAAGCACAAAGACAGGTGACTGTTGCAGCTCAGCAGGATCAGGGGGGTTGCTGCAGGTTAGGCTTAGCTGATTGGAACTGTGGAACTGTAAGTGGTCAGTAAAGGGAAGCCACTGTGGCCTCAAAACCAATGAAACAATATAAAATTAGCAACATTATTCAAATGAAAATGTCAGGAGAGTTAGCAAGTATGGCTAATGATGTTACCACGTTGCGGTTTAGTCCTGTCCTCAGCCCGGTGTCAACTTCCACAGGAAGCCTCTTAGAAGTGTTTCAGCAGCGGAGCGTGCAGCCTGCCCCACGTTAATGACTTGTTTTTAATTGTTCTTGTTTTGTGCTTCTACCTTCTTCACACGATTTTTTTAATGAGCAGCAAGAGGAAATATGATGAACAAATCTGATGGGACTCTGAGCTTTAATGACAATTGCCAGGCAATCCTGGCAAAGAATACAGGACAGGGTCAGAACACCTTAGACAGGGAAGGATTCGACACTTAACCAAAATATAAACTGTCAGTGGTAGAGGGCCTCATGTCCAGTGGCAAATTATATAATGTGGTTAGTTACTAAACACATTGCCCCATACATTCACTGTCTGTACCTCTGTGTGTATATTGTGTAGACTGCCTCCCTCCCCTCTCTCTCTCCTTACATCCCTCTCTTTTTCTCTCTCTCTCTCTCTCTCTCTCTCTCCTTCACCCCAACCGGTCGAGGCAGATGGCCGCCCACCCTGAGCCATGGTTCTGCTCGAGGTTTCTGCCTCTTAAAAGGAAGTTTTTCCTTGCCTCTGTCGCCTAGTGCTGCTCTTGGTGGGAACTGTTGGGCTTCTGTAAATAGCATCATAGAGTACGGTCTAGACCTGCTCTTTTATGAAAAGCGCTGTGAGATAACTGTTGTTGTGATTTGGCGCTATATAAATAAAATTGAATTGAACTGAAATTCTGCATTGTTAACACTCCTCTCTCCTGTGTGTCCTCAGGTTGTTTGCCACCAAGTGCAGCGGCTGTCTGGAGAAGATAGTACCCACAGAGTTTGTAATGCGAGCACTGGAGAGTATTTACCACCTCAGCTGCTTCTGCTGCTGTGTCTGTGAGCGCCAGCTGTGCAAAGGAGACAAGTTTGTTCTAAAAGAAGGTCAGCTGCTGTGCAAGAGTGACTATGACAGGGAGAGGGTCCTTCTCAGCACAGTCAGTCCAGACAACTCAGACTCAGGTAACACTGGGGATTATTTAGCAGACGATTAAATAGCAGACTATTACAAACCCAGTGAATTTGAAAACACATAAAATGAATTACTTAAAGGGGTCATATTGTGCTTTTTGACTTTTTCCCTTTCCTTTTTTGTTTCATATATTTTTTTTGCATGTAATAGGTTAGCAAAGTGAAAAGTCCACCCCAAAGGGAGTTCCCATCTCCCACAGAAAACAGTACTTGTGAACTGCCTGAAAACAGCTGGATTGTAGTCCAGCCTTTACCTCCGTGAACAACTTGTGCCACTATGTAACACGTCATAATGCTTGCCAAAACTAGTGTGGAAAAACACACAAGCTGCTGCACACACGGTGACAAGACATCCGCCTGCTGCCTTCCCTGACCCCCACCCTCCATACCACGTTAGGTAGTCAATGGACAGAAAGCTGTTACTGTGATATAGAGACAGCACAGATAAAATGTAACATATGATAAATCTATTTATTACAAATGAATAACTTACCACTCTGAAACTGTTGCTCCAGTCTAGGTTGCAAAGCTGCTTCTGGAACATGTAAAGCTTAACCGAAGCCGTGTTACTGGCTTGTCAGGACCCGCCCTACCCTGCTTCTGATTGGCCAACAGTCCTTAACTATTGTACTGCACATGTGCAACTCCCAACAAAGACCATAGACATGTAAGATGCTTCACTCTGAAGCTAAAACAGAGCAATACAGTATGACAAAATGAAACCATGTAAACCTATTCTGGAACAACCCCTAAATAAAATTATGAACCTGAAAATGAGCATAATATAAACAGCTGGGATGTGCAATGTTGAAGAACAGAAGACAGCTAGATTTTCAAAATATCCAACTGAAATAATACCACCCACTCCCTCCAGGCCTCCCTCCAAAGCCACTCCCCCAAAGCACAAGTTCATATGCAGTGAGTGCATGGGCAGAGTGCACACAGGTAGACAGGCAGTTTGGCCAGCAACAGTCCTGCAACAACCACTTACCACAACAATCATATACCAGATGTTTTTCATTTTTGTGTCAGAGTAGAATTTCATTTATTGATTGCTGTCTGGAGGTAAAGAGAATGTTGACAAATAAAACAAAAAATGCTTCTGAAAAAAACTGCCTACCCCAGTTTTAATGTACTAATCGCTAAGTCGAAGATTGGGACTCATCATTCCAGTTGAATTTCACCTTGCTTGTAATGCAGAAAAAAACAATTCACATGTAGTTAGACACAAAACTGCAGTCAAGTCAAATCTGGTGTAAAATAAAACCAAAATAAAATATCTGTCTGGTGTTAGGTAAGAGTGAGGACGAGGATCTGGATGTGAAGACAGAGAAGTGCCGTGCAGCAGGGAAAGGCAGTGATGACTGCAAAGACCCTCGCCGTCCCAAACGGCCACGCACCATCCTCACCACTCAGCAGAGGAGAGCCTTCAAGGCGTCCTTCGAGGTCTCCTCCAAACCCTGCAGAAAGGTGAGCAGAGAGGATTGAGTATAGTGAGATATTTTACAGACATTACGCGCCTATCAAACTTTAGAATAGCAAAGCTTTACAAGGTGACCAGAATGGAACTATTAAACTCTTTATTCTGTTCTGTCATTGCTTTTGTGAAATCAGGAAATCAGACTGTACTGTTGAGTAAAAATATGTCAACATTAGGAAGGCAAATGTAAATGCTCCGTATTTGTATGGTGCCTTTCTAGTCTTTTTGACCACTCAAAGCGCTTTTACACTTCATCTGCATTCACCATCCACACACTGAGCCTAAATGCTCAAACAGAAACTAACATTCACACACTGGTGGAACAGCTGGCAGGGGAAATTCAGGGTTCAGTATCTTGGACACTTCAACATACAGCCTGGAAGAGCTGGGGATTGATCCGCCGACCTTCCGATTAACAGGAAACCCCCTCTACCTCCTGAGTCACAGCCGCCCAACACACAAACTGCATAACACACAACAAGATGAACAGTATACAAATAGAAACTAGAGAACAGTTGACTTCCTCAAAAGCCACAGCAAAGTTCTTCCCAGGCCTCCAGTTCACAGCACAGTGGTGTAGGGGATGCCGTCCTGACTCACTGGTGTCATTAAAGAGCCAATGGCAAATATCGCAAAGACTAGGGGGTTCCCTGGTGTCCTGGCAAAATTCCCAGCCTGGCTCTCTCCATCTGGCCATCTAATCATCCCCCAGTGTAGCTGGCTCTATGTTTCCCTCTTTCTCCACCTTAAGCTGATGAGTGGTGAGTGTTACACACAAAATGTGTGCCATGTATCACCCAGGTGCTACACATGGGTGGTGGCCCCTTTCAAGATAAAACGTTATATAAATGTAATCCATTTATATTATTGTTACTGTAGGTGGAACCTCAGAACCCAGTTCTTTGGATTTACCCCTATAACATCCACATTATCCAAGTGCCTTATGGTTTATTCAGCAAAATCCGACTGCGCTGAGAGAGACTCACCAACCACATCACAACTTGGCTATAGAAGAAAATATTTATGTCATGTATTATAGATATATCTGTCAGATTAATAACAATGGATGCCTGTCTGACATTTGGGAACTATGAACTACATTAACACACATGATGTGTAAAAATGGCTGATGAGTGTGACCATGATATGACCTGCAGGTGAGAGAGACCCTGGCTGCAGAGACAGGACTCAGTGTACGTGTGGTCCAGGTCTGGTTCCAGAACCAGAGAGCAAAGGTCAGTAAAGCAGCATACCTATAAGAAGCTGTCAACGCTGTATACATAATTGTGTATATATATATATAGATGTTTGCACATGGGATTTGTGGACAATAATTTATAGTATTATTTAGATGGGGCTGTGCCATATCCAGTCAGTTTCAGTCCCAATACAATTTAACACAAACTGCAGGATACCAGTGCTTTGTGAAATATAATATTGGTATTAAATAATTTCTAAATATTATTCTATTATATTAATATACAAAAACATAAACAGTGAACATAAACATAGAAAGTGGCATAATAAGGAAATACTCAAGTAAAGTACAAGGCTACCTCTAATTTGTACTTCAGTACAGTAGGCCTACTCAATTATAGTCTACCACTGGAAATAACCACATCTTAAAGGTTCAGAGCTGCCAATAAACTATAACGCTTACCTCTGTAGCCAACCGCTGTTGTTCTCCTTGTTGATGTACCGTAGCACAAGCACCAACTTGGCAGTGGGTGGAAATGTCAGTTGTCTCATCTGCCTGAACAGCAAGTTAATCAGCATTTTTTTACTTCCTCCAGAATGTAATCTTCAAGAACTGACAGCATGCAGTCCAAAAGTTCGTTTTGCACAGTCTTTGAGGTGCCTTTGAAAACAGTAGTTGTCTTAAGGTGCTCCTCCAACACACCAGCAAGGCAACAAGATCTACTGAAAACACCAGGGTTGTCAGAGGATGCGGACTCATTGTGGCCGCGCAAAACCGATGTTAACTCTGCTTAGCATGGTTAGCTTCACCGTGTTATCCATATGTGCCCTCGTACACTCGTGTTTCTTAATCTTCTCAGATAAATGTATCGTGTCGTTTACTCCTGTAACAGTCCATGTTGTATCCGTCCCCGCGGTTTTAAAAAGCAAGCATGGGAAGCACAATAAGGCATTTAAATCATTGCATCCAGCTAGCCAAGGCTGAAAGCCTCTGTTGCTATGGGAATACCTTGTGTCAGCATTGGCTGCGCTGCTGTGCTGCCTGGGCGATCTCTCCAGCGCCCAGGAAGAGATCAGTGGATGAGCGGGAAGCTAATTTCACACCCAAACATAATTATTTAGCCTATATTTTATATATTACACGTTATTATAGCATTTTAAACACACATATACTTAAAAAGGTAATTACTGTATTATATTCAAAAATGTTTATTTGAAAAAGAAAAAGAAAAACACTTAGACTAAATCTTTCCACCACCAGGGAGGGCGGCGCCCTAGCGCCCTCTATTGGCCAGCCGCCACTGTATATATGTATGTAAAGAGGAAAGATCTAATCTAGCACAAGTGCTACCAAGATTGTCCAATAGCTCTGATTATATAACATTAGCTTTGTAGTAACTCTCACAGCACTTCCCTCAACCTGAGAAGCACCATGTTCCATGTTTGTATTCAAGCCCACCAACTTGGCCTACCTAATACATAACAAGAAACGATCACAATGCAGGCAGAATTGACATTGTTATCCAGATCACATGTAAAAATGGGGTCTTACTGTCATTCTTTTTTGCCAAAGTGCTCAATCGTCTAAAGCATTTCAGTGCTTATCCAAGCTTCAGTGGATCAAGAATTTATAATCTACAATTTGCTCGGCTTGGTGGCAGTTGGGAGAATAAGCTTTGTCAAAGTGTGAATATCCAATAGGCCTTTTATTTCAGTCAATTATCCATCTAGTACTTTGCTTGTTTACTCAAGTCATATACTCTACAATGGATCCCAATCAATGCTGAAATGTTTGTTAAAGATGATTTATGTTGTACTGGTCACTTTTATCATTCCTCCTCAATTAATTAGAGTCTGTGGAATTTATTTTTGGCACAGCATGGAAAGAAATCTCAGCATGCTACACAGTGTCACAGACTCACTTAAGAGATGAGTCTGGTAATACTATAAATTATTGTCCACAAATCCCATGTGCAAACCCAAACCAACAGTGCACGTATCCTACTAACAAGTATTGTGTGAGTACAGTATCTCACAAAATGAGTACACCCCTTCCATTTTTGTAAATATTCAATTATATCTTTTCATGTGACAACACTGAAGAAATTACCCTTTGCTACAATGTAAAGTAGTGAGTGTACAGCTTGTATAACAGTGTAAATTTACTGTCCCCTCAAAATAACACATCACACAGCCATTAATGTCAAAACCGCTGGCACCAAAAGTGAGTACACCCCTAAGTGAAAATATCCAAATTGGGCCCAATTAGCCATTTTTTCCTCCCCGGTGTCATGTGACTCGTTGTTGTGTTACAAGGTCTCAGGTGTGAATGGGGAGCAGGTGTGTTAAACTAAATATGATAAAATGTAGACAGGCCTATCCGACCATTCCTTGTGCAAGGTTCATGGTTCAAGTAACCCTTACTTTTAGATTGTCTTCTTTAAAGAAACACCCTTGAATATTTTCATGTTATTGTGATGTATAGCTGTCATGTTATGTTTCTTATTGTTGTTTAGAATGTACATGTAAATATATTTTTCTACTAATCACAAATTGTAATGATATCAGATACATCTTTTGACCTTTTGACCTATTTTTTGTCAATGATATTACTGATATTTCCATCACTGGTTGTTGATCCTAAACACCACAATATTCAAAGCAGTCAAAGATCTGAGTGATTTGTTTATGTTGTGGTCTCAGGTTTGTTTTGACCACCTAAGGAAATTCCACACACCCCAGACCTTTGTTAGTAACTTGATATTTTTAAATGTATAATCTACAGGAGGTTGAGAAGTAAGCTCTTTCACATCTGTGTATTATTTTGCTAGTGTCTCTTCATGAAATGTCTGTCATCCACAGACTAAGCTTTTTACTCTGTTTATTTATTTACAGATGAAGAAGTTAGCCCGCAGACAACAGCAACAGCAGGAGCAACACAACAGCCAAAGGCTAGGCCAAGGTGAGGATTTATCATGTGTGTACATGCTGTACTGGCTAGCTGGCTAACTGCTTTGTCTGACATTAAAAAAAGGAAAAGCATAACATCTGCAATATGTAATCTGACCATTAAAATTGTAATGACAATAAGTACTGTGAGCTAGGTAATTTATGAATTATTTGGACAAACAGCCTGAAATATTAAATGTATTATGGGAACAATAAACAGAGTAGAGTCAGTCAGCAAACACACTTTTAGAATGGAGTTCCATACTCTGAAGCCAGAGTGACATCTCTGGTAAATATGATCTGAATTTTCCGACGGCATGGCTATAAAGTTTGGGCCGCAGCTAGGATTCTTGCTGTAGCACAGCTCCTCGTAGCTAGCAGGCTTATTGCCACTGTGGTCTCACAGCGGATATGAGCAGACAGTTTAGATAAGTGTCTCAGTGCTTTGGCAAGCACTGCCACTATCTGTTCAGGGACTTCCAGCATGTCAATATTGGCATAGCAGCATGGTTTATTATAGTGGAAGCTGCTGCTGTTAACCAAATGAGCTAAACAAACCAGCAAATGGGGGTTGTTTGAAGTTGATGTTACAATGAGATGAAGCCTCCTGGATGACTGGTGAGACGCCTTCAAGATCAAACAGCCAGTCAGTTTAGACAATGCATTTACAATATATGCTTTTAAAAGAAACCATTTGGTGTACAAAAAAACATGGCTGTACTATCTGTGTTCACATCTGTAGGGATGTTTGGTGCTCAATGCGAGCAAGAGAGTCCTACTTACCTGTCCTACCTATACAGCCATACAGGCAAGTCAGCAAATATCCATCAACAAAAGAAAAAAACAGAAAGAAAAAAAAAAAAAAAAAAACAACTGTTCCAATAAACACAACAAATACTTCTCCCAAGTATAACCACATAAGTAAGAAACCTTTGGAAGTGGACATTCACAAGGTCCTCCACAATAAAATGGCAGCTTAAGTGACACTAAAATTAAATCAGCAGTTTTCTTTTTTGCACGTAATGTGACTCAGACCATCACATAGAGTATGTAATGTGCAGTTGTGGAATTTATCAGATCCCTTATCAGTTTAACTTCTGAAGGATCTGTGAGTGAGGGAGTGGCATGAGTGAGAGCCTGTGAAGCTGAACCCTTGTAGCCCTTTCATGTGAGATATCATGTGTTTGGAGTAACTGACACTGTTAGGTAGCTTAACTGTTATTGTTCTACCCAAACAGCTAAACTGTACTTTATTGTTCTTCCTTTTTTGGCACTTACCAAACAGCTTCGCTCTCTCTCTCTCTCTCCCTCACCCCAACCGGTCGAGGCAGATGGCCGCCCACCCTGAGCCATGGTTCTGCTCGAGGTTTCTGCCTCTTAAAAGGAAGTTTTTGGTAACAATTTCTATGAAGGTCATCGCTATAATGACTTATGCATATATTTATAACACGATATAATGCGTCCATAAGACATTAAACATGCATTAGGCGCTATAGCAAAGTTCATAATGTATTATGACCTTTTGATTTAATGTTTTATAACTAATAGTAATACCAGTTTATATCAATGTGCGGCAAGAATCTCCGACCATGTTCCATAACACATTATAACCACCGACTCTGCCTCGTTACGAATACACTTTAGTCACCATTTACAATTACTGATATAAAATGGAATAACAGCTTACAGTAATGTTTAAAGTTATATAGCATGTCTTTGTTTGCTTTAAGTGTTAAAATATCTATCCCTGTATAATATATTACAGTTGGACATAATACCACATGAACCAATTACCTTATAACACGTAATTGTTTGCTTTAAGTAAAGTGACACACATTTTGCGCAGGAAAACAACTTTTATTTATGTTTCTTCACTTTATGAACAATCTGTATGAATTTTGAACATTTTGCAGTTTAGCACAAAAACACAACTTAATTACATCAAGGACACTCATTGTCAGGGTGGTGAAAGATCGCTCAAGAGAAGACCTGTTGTCGACCAACATCATGTAAGAGGCTCAGATGTTGCCACAGATGAATGGCGAGCCTATGGACAGGCCCTAACAGATGCAGTGGACAATTTTCTGACCATATAGTAGCTAACTTAGCCTAACCCCCTAACTCCCGGTAAGACAGTGAACAAGCTGACCCCCAAATGTCAAAGTGGGATTAGCAATTACTGAAATTCGAATTGCAATCCCTTACACTAAAAGTAATCACAGTACTAAAGTGTTACTAAGTGATGCGTCAAACACTGTCGGACAAGAGGTTAGAATGACAGAGTCAGTGAAGGTGGGTGAAGGTAAGCCTTCCCAAATTTAAAATGATAATGTGTGCATGTAGTATATGCAGGGTATATACAGGAATCATGAAGTAAAATTCAATACCTTTTTAACACCTTTTCAAGACTTCTTCAACATATTTTAAGACTGCCGCACCACTTTGAGCTGTAACTGATTAAATCAGCCATGCACCTTTAAAAGGGACATTTTTGAGGTTTTAAAAGGAATTTAAGTATATTTATAACATATTTATTGCCTATATGTCATCAGGTTGTAACACCACCTAAAAATTGAGGCATTCACCAACTTTCTCAGTTGCCTATAACAGCCTATATGGGCCAACAGTTTGCTATGTGAAGGACTGGTCAGATTTCCTGCGAAAAGCAACTGTCTTACATAAGCTATGACGTTTATGTACGCAACATTACAGCAAATCATGTGAAACAGTGTAATTTTGTGTTTTAGTTGGTTTAAACTAGATAATGCGAGCTTGCCTGCAATGATATGTGTGATAACTTTCACCGTCCACTTGATCAATACAACAAAATTCAAATAGGCCAGGAGGGAACAAAGATGAAGAGAATAAACTGATGAATAACATGTTTTTTATTCATTAAGGCTACATGATAGTCTCCAACCTTGATTTTGGGCAGGCTACTGACTCGTCAATAATAATGTTTATGCAGAACACAGAGTTCAACATTTATAAAGTTTGTTGCAGCACATCAAACTTTTGATTTGTTCACAAAAAGTGACAGTGACGAGAACACACGGCTTTATGAAAAGTTGAACGTGTTTCAATAAAAAGCAGAGCTTTAGCTAAATAGCCAGCTAACGTTAGCCAAACCCACACGCTCATGAATTTTTCCTGTTGTCTTCTGTCTTACCGATTCAGCTGCTGGCGGCGCATCTCGCTCTTGTTTTTCAGGGCTGTTCAACCGGCCAACCGGGTTAATCCCGTTACTCCTGATCGCCACTCCGACTATGTTTTGGACGATTAACATTGCGGGTCCAGCGGGGTGGGAGATTACAGTCGGTTGTATCCGTAAATCACTTTCCGGTTCGCTCGGATCTGTTGTTTGGAGCATTTAAGAGTGAAATAGGTGCTCGGTAGATCCCTGCGCCTAACGTTACAGAAACGAATTACACAGTCGCTACTCACTGCCTGTCAAGTATTTTTGGCTATGCATTATAAATAAATACTTTCACCTACACTTTTAGTAAACAAACCTTTGGACAAACAGGATTTTCACAAAGTAGAAAATATCTTCAAAATGTAATACCTTATTATAGGGCGATTAAGACTTGTTAATACTTTTTAATGGCCTTAATTTTCGCAAAATTGATTTATTACTTTCTAAGACCCCGCGGACACCCTGCATATGACTATCACAACTGAGCTTTTTAACCCTGCTCTCACTTGTCATCACTGACTGTTACAGATGTAATATCAGGTTGTATGGAGGGCCTGCTCAGCTCATACTCAGGGCCGCTACCTCCAAACCAGCAGCAGCTGGTGTCCATAGAGCACAACTGCTGCAACACTGACCCATTCCAGCAGGGCCTCACCCCACCACAGATGCCTGGTGACTACATGAACCCCTACGGTGAGTATCACACTGTATAATGATGGAACCTGTGTGACTGTTTAGCACTGTCGTCTTTATTTTATGTGTTCTCTGTATTCTCCTGTCATATATAGTGGACTGGAGACTAGTCCATAGTGGTCTCCAACTGGAAGCCTATCCAAAGTATTTCCCTACCTGCCCTCGAGTGCATGTTGGGAACGGCTGCAGCCCTCCACATCATTAGAGGACTATAGCAGTAGTTTGACATGTTTTCTTCTTTCCAGGCTGCCATAGATTAGCACCAATTTCTGACACACACACTTCATTAATCTCTCTCCAGTATAACATTGTCTATTGCAGAGATGTGAAACTTGTTGATTGAAGATTAGGGATGGGGATCGATTTGCGGTTCTAAAATTTCTTAAAACCCGAAAATCAATAAGGTCCAAGCTTATTGATACTGCTATCGAGACTGGCAGGTCCTATAATGTAACGTTATGTCTGGATCGTCAAATCTGGTTTAACTTGAAACGCAATTGATAAAAAAGCTAATGTTTTTCAGTGATGCAACTGAATCATGGATTTAAACGGGCCCGGGACAGTTTATCATCAGGCTGCAACCTCTGCTGCTCTCTGTCGGCTCCTAGATAGACACACACACACCGCCCAGCAGAGAGAGACGCCGTGCCATCACGGTGGAGACAAAGTTAAACGTTAGCTCCCCACAGGAACTGCTGAATGATCTGAGAAAATTAAAACTTGAATTAAATGAAATTACCCAATTTCAGTAGCAAAGACTACACTTGGAGAACTTTGAACATGGCAATAAAGCCAGCAGATTCTTAGCCAACCAATTAAAATTGAATAAAGAAAAAATAACAATTTCCTCCCTCATAACGCAGAAGAAATAAATAATGGATTTAGAGATTTTTATAAAAACTTATATACATCACAAATTGATGCATCTAGCTCCAAAATCAATGCATTTCTGAACAATATAGCTTTGCCAAGGTTAGATGACGAACAGATCAGGGCTCTGGATTCACCTGTTTCTATGGCTGAACTCCATGAACTCCTCTTACATATGCCGAATAATAAAGCCCCCGCTGAATTCGACAAGAAATTCTGGGAAATATTTCCGCCCATATTCTACAGGATGGTAATGCAAACTAGGAGTACTTGCATGTTGCCTCCAACAATGAACTCGGCTAATATCAGCCTGCTCCTTAAACCAGACAAAGACGCCACACTCCCATCCAGTTATCACCCAAGATCACTTATTAATGCAGATCTTAAAATCATCTACAAAACCCTAGCAAGAAGGCTAGAAAAGGTCACTCCTGGTATATCCTGTCGGCCCCGGTTCTCCCATGTTATCGCTCCCCGGCTGTGGTCTGGGGTCCTTTGCGCTTTGGGGGGGTCGCAGGGTGCCCTTGCTACTGGGGGCGGCGTCTCTTGGAGCCTCGCAGGTCGATCCGGTTGCGGTTCGGGGGGTGCGATGGGATTGTAGGGAGATTGTCGATGCATCTTGATGCGTTGTTTTTTTTCTGTGCAGGGTCTCTGGATGGCTGCAGGGCATTTAGTTTGTGCATTGAAGTCCAGGGAGGCATTTCCTGGTTGGCTTGGAGGGAATAGTTTGCGTCCCTGGTTTACTTCGTTGGCCTCAGATCCCTGCTCCCTCGTCTCTCTGTCGGCCAGTTGTCGGACTCCTCTGGAGACTGAAGTATAAAGTTAGTTGTCGGGATGTGCAGTGTGTTCTGGGCTTGTGCCTGGTGTTCTCGGACCTGGACGGGCGGGTAGGTTTGTGGTGATAGGTGTTGCTGTGCTCATGTAGCCTAGTGTGTGGGTTGAGGTCGTCACTTGTGCATTGACTGCGTGGCGTTTTGGTTGTTCTTTCCATGGCGGTGGGGTGCCGGGCACAGGGGGCGCACTGGTCTCTGTTGTGTGCGCGCCTCGGTCGGTCCAAGCGCTGCTCCTCCGCGGGTTCCGCCTTTTGCGTTCCATCGGCATTGTGTTGTTGATTGGTATTTGGATGGACAGTTTTTTGGCGTATGTGGGTCAGGGTCTTCCGCGTTTGCATCACGGTGCGCCTGGGAGTCAATTTTTTTCTCCCACCCCTACTGGCTACAGGGGTTCTTGTCTGCCTGACGCTGGGTTCTGTGCAGCACGGTTGTGGCGTCCAACTCTCACTAACAACTACATTCTGTAACAGGTTTATGCACACACACACACATATACACACACACATTCACCCACACACACACAGTCTCACATATAGACACACACACACACACACACACTTAGATTTCCCCTGGGTACAGGTAGAATTATTCTTGATGCTTTTCTACTTCTAAGTTGCTTATTTAAATTAATTGTTATTATTCCATCTCTCATGGCTGTGCTGTGTTGTTTATTTATTTTGGTTGACTGTTTCTCGTTTTCATTTCTCCATCAGTTGTTTTCTTATGTCAGCTGTTTATCGCTGCTGTTCGGCTGAGGGCTGTTTCACAAAACCAAGATATTTTTCAGATATTATGGCTGAATTTAGCCTCGACTTGGTTTCACGAAAGCAGTATCACATAAGTTACCATGGCGATTTCTTCTGTGCAGCTAGCCTGCTCCAGACCAGGCTAACAGCCAGGCTTAGTTAATCCTGGTGCCTTATTTGTTCAGTCAGTGTTCACTCTGATCAGAAACCAATGTGTTTTTTTCAGTTATTCCATGTTCTTATGTGTTTTGCATATTTTTCTTTAGCCTGCTTTAAAATAGCAGTTTGTTTTTATTAGGTTTCATAATTAGAGAAGATGTGTGCTCCATAATTTGCACACGAGCATCAGCGAGTAGGTTTACGTGGAATAAAAGCACATAACATGTAAAGAAAGAGAAAAAAAAGTAACACAGGCACAGTAATAAAATTATATTGTGCACCGTTAATTCATGAAACAACAGGGAGAGAACACCTCAATGTTTTTTGACCTTTTTTTCTCTCCCTGGGATCACTCATCTGCTGCGAGCTTGGGAGAGAAAACAATGATTAATACGTTGTGCTACAGTCATGCTTACACTGTGCTTTGCAGTGATCACTTTTCTTTCTAGTTGCTGGATTTCCAAGTCAATTTCCTCAGTGCCTTTTCTTTTTATCTCCATATCTAAGTCCAAGTCCTGCCAGGGTTTTTGTTGATATTTTATTTTGTTAATTTTTAACAATTTTAAGTATGTTTACTTCAGACATCTGACAGTTTGTAAAACCCAGACTGGCTGTCAGACTATAGGACTACAGCCCCAGGTTCAAGTTACAAATATGATACAGTATTTTCTATGAGCACCATATCTCTGACTTATCTATTATCCATATTGACTAAACAAGTACACCATTTTCACACAAAATTGACAGACCTCCAGCCTCTCTGCCTAGGTCTATTATACGTAGCCTATATACTTTTTAAAAGCATTTGTTAAAAATGTTGCTTGCAATGAAAAATGTTAAATAACTGAAAATGCTTTAAGAAAGGTTTAATAGCACAATAACACAACATGCAATACAATGTAAACAAAAGAAACACATGTACACAAGCTAAAAGAACAAGCTGCTGATTACTGCATTATATTTTTATATTTTGAATTGTCACCTGCCAGATTCATTTTGTGTTTCCTTTTACATAAATAAAGACATTTCCACCATAAACTGGTACAGAATATTTCTCCAGAAGTCAGAAAATTAAGTGTTAAATGCTCAAAAACATCTGGGAGGACCCCCAGACTTCCCACTCATATATTTCAGCGTTGAATATTACTTCAAAATAGGGTTAAAACTTTGCTCTTCTTGTTCTCATGTACACAGAATTGTGCATCACCACATCTCGTGAGTCAAGGGTATCGTCACACCCTTAATCTGAGGCTATGTTCTTTTCAACACAAAGTTACTTTTTATACACACACACACACATACACACACAAACACACACACGAGAATTTGTTTTTACTTTTGTTGTGAATTGCCGCTATATAAATAAAACTGAATTGATAGTATGTTGATTAGTGGTTGTAATTAAAAAATTTGTTGAGTGACATTAACGTCCACGTCTGCAATTGGTGTTTCCCTCTGCTATTTCCTGTTGTCCCCACCCCTCATCCCCATTCTCTTGCAGGTGTTGTCCTTTCTCTGTGTTGTCTGTTTGTAGAAATTTAGCACATTGTTAAAAACAGCTGCTGGCTAAGACACACCATCTGCTCCTCCTTCGACCAGGTAACCTTACCTGCAGCAGTGAATAACAGCAGAGAGGAGGAGGAGGAGGTGGTGAGACTGATACAGACTGATGTCTGAGTTTTTATTCCTTCTAAACGTCACTCACTATTGTGATGTCAGATATTGAGTTTATTTGCTGTTGCAAGCATTAACGTTGCTGCTCTAGAAACATTTAGATTTATTAAAAATATTAATTTTGAATCCTATAATTCATTTAAAAACAATGAGGCAGTTATTATGCACACCTCAATATTTGTTTATTTATCGCAAGTGATATGTCACCTCAATATATATCTATGTTATCGCACATTAAATAATTCTCATGCCGGCCTACATCATGCCCTTTGGGTCTTGTCTTACCAAATAACAATCACCTAATAATAGTAAAGTATTGATAGTGGTATTGATAAAAAAATCGGATCATCAAGCAGCCTTAACAAGGGTATCAATATCAATAAAAATTAACGATCCCCATCCCTACTGAAGATACTATCAAGTTGCATTTTAGGAAATTTAGGATCCAGTGTTTTTGGAGCTTGACCCATACCAGGGACCAGACGTAAGGAAATCTCTGCCTTTGTTGCTTTGATTCTGACTGAACTGTCTCTTCTGAGTCCACAACTTTGTGGAAGTGCAATACTAAATCAATGGAGTACCTCTTTAATTTGTTTAAGGTCAACATACTTCACAGTTGGGCTTCAGAATATCAACAGTGGGTTGAGACAAATTTTAGGCGGCAACACAGGGTGCTAGAATATATTTAGTTATGCAAGGACCAGATTGAGATAACAATTTGACAAACCTACCAACTCAGGTGTTAGAAAATGTAAACAGTTCAGTCTTGTGGTTCTCTCTGATGTAATGACCCATCCCATCCCTGTGTTCTCATCCTCACCATGATGGCATCAATCTCTGTTAACTTCTATCTCATTTTATTGGCAGTCATGGGAATTAACTAATAAGGCATGACGGCTGATTAAAAATGTATGACCCATCAAGTTGTCATCATTTTGTGAGCCCAATAAAACCTAGACACCCAGGAGAGCAGTACTACACAACCCTGCGATTAAACATGTGTAAAACATTTTGCCTGTACAACCACAATATTTGATATCTCTTAGAAAAAAACAAATGTTCCAAATGTACATTAACAAAGCTCATTTTGTGCTATTGTCACACTTACATATTTTATTATTTAAAGGTTAAGTGTGCAAGTTTCATCTAGTAGTGAAGGTTGAGAATTGCAACAAAGCTCCTCACTCAATCCAACTAAATATTTTTTCTATCGGGGCAGTAAAAGTTTAACTGGTTTTAACTTCCATGCTGTAGACTACAGTTTTATTGCCAATTAACCAGCTGATCACAGAATGTAACCGATACATTTATGTCCAGGTAGCAAAGCCAAAGCCTGGAGAATAACATTACATTACAATCAAACCACATATTTTTCTACCAGGGCAGTAAAATGTGAGCTGATCTGAGCTTTAATGCTCTAAGTTACCATTTTATTGCCAATTAATCAGCTGATTATCTCACATATCAAAAATGACATATCTATAAATGAATAAATAAATAAATGCAGAAATAAATTAAAATTAAATATATTTTTGTAATAAGGCTAATTCTATATTTATTTATGCATTTCTACATGCATTTATTACTGTATTTCCACATTTATTTATGCATTTCTAAATGCATTTATTACTGTAATGCTAATTGAGTAGGTGGTGCCAACATCATTCTGAAGTCTGATATACTACTACTGTCTTGACTTCACTGGAGAGTGGGTTGTAGCCAATTCTGTGGCCTGCTCGCTGCCTTTAGGGGCGCTAAAGATAGTGGTCGGGGCCACCAAAATACATGAAAATGGGGCCCAGGTTTAAAAATCCTGAGATTATCCTTTAACTACCTGTTGTCGTGAGGAGTCAGTCAGAGCTTTCTTCGCCTTGATGATACGACTCCACCAGGTGTGGTGAAAGGAGTAGAAGACAAGACAATATTCAGTAAAAATAAATAATCATGAACAACTGACAGTAAATACATCTACAGAAAGAGCTACCAATCAAAAAACTGTGCAAAGGAGGCTCTCACAAATACATTTTACACATCAACTTACATGTTTGACATCATTATCAGCCTTCTCTCGTTTTCTGGAAGCGCTTCATTCCTCATCCAGGACTGTAACATCTGAGCCACAAGCTGAAACGTACAGTGTTGAGTTGGTTATGACATCAAGCAGTGGCCTGGGAAGAGCTGGAAAAGGTTGTCCCCTTGGAATCTAAGTGTAGTTCAGGAGAGAGAGGGAGGAGAGAACAAATAAACACCATTTGTTGGTTTTTCACAACCAAAGTATAACTGGGTCTTTTCTGAAAGAAATGGGAATCAAGTTTACCATTGTCAGATCTGATAGTAAATACACCAGCATTGGGTTGCTGTGCTACTTCTTCAAAGACGTCTGCATCCCCTTCTCATCAGAAACTCTGATGCCTCTGCTGCCATTTGGGATGGAGGACTCGATGAAAGCTTAGAGAAAAAACACAAACTGAGTCATCCCACATGAAATGGTCAAGATAACCAAAGGGTATACCCCAAAACACACTCAGTGATACCATTTGACCATGATACTAATCACTGGTCACAATAAATTAGTGGTAACAACATGATATTGCCATATAAATCATAATTAGTGTCGGAATTATTATATTAGAACTTCAAATTTAAACTTCACTGAATAAACCTATTAAATAGAGTATATCACTATGTGAAAGAAACTGGGGTCTGAAACAAAACAAACATGACTTCTTAAATCTCGAGAACAAGATTTGTAGGCCAGGGCACCTTTTCAGAACTACAGTAATTCATCATGATGCAGTTTTGTGACACATTTTACCTTTATCGAAAAAACTAGCTTCTGCAATTCACTTATTACATTCGGCCATATTTCGAATAATTGTGCATTAATATTATACTGTAAGTACACCAATGAGAATGTCTAATTAAATGCACAGCGCTTGCACACTAAGCTTGAATATTTACATTATGGCAGAAAGTAGGAGTAGCTGTTTTGAAGCATGATTTTACTATATAAAATAATTAACTTATTAGCATTACCACGACAGACAGTTACTGCTCTCTAATGTACTGACTTCAAACCAGCATTAACAACCGCAGCCTGCAACACTTCATTAGTCTGTAAATATTAACTGCTAGCACTATCTCTGGCTTTAAATTAAATGTATCCGAGCCTTTGACCATTTTGCGTGTTCAGGCATCCAAGCAAACAACCAACAGACTAAATACGACATGAAGCGAACGAGGGCGTGAGGTAGGCCTGTACGATGAGAGGAAAATCTGCGATAACATTGTTATATATGTAGATGATCACTTGCCATAAATAAAAAAATATTGAAGTGCGCATATTGGCTGCCTGGTTGTTTTTAAAGTCAATATAGGGTTTGTATTAAATATTCTAAATACAACTAAATGTTGTTTATAGAGCAGCAAAATTAATGTTGACAACAGCAAAGTCAATATAAAGTCGATATCTGACACCACAGTACTGAGTGATGTTTACAAAGAATGAAGATATCAGTCTGTTTCAGTCTTTCCTCCTGTCCTCCTCCTCCTCCTCCCTCTGCAGTCATAACGTTACTGCCAGCAGGTAACCTTACCTGGTAGAGAGGAGCAGCTGGTTCGTCTCAGCCAGCAGCTGAGTTTACAGCAGTGTGCCACATTTTAAGCTACAGTGCAAACTAAGCTAAACAGTCAGACTAAAGTTACAGACAGACATATTTCAATTTAGCTTGTTTGTAACATTTAGCTAATTGCCAAGCTAACGTTAGCTGTGCTTGTATAACACATCAATGACCGACTGGACAGAGCAGATTAAAATAACACTTTCAACATGTTTACACTACACACAGGTGGATTGATAAAGTAATATCTTTTTAGTCACGAAGGATTTATTGCACATACAATAACAAACGTAGCTATGGTAAACTGGTGTAGTTTAGAGCCCCCTTCACAACACGGTCTCAACTGCGGCCTCGCCCTCTGCTGGCCGCTGTGTGTGTGTGGGCAGAAGCCGACACAGAGCAGCAGAGGCTGCAGCCTGAACAGTACGCTGTAGCCCCGGGCCAGTTTAAGAAGTTTCGGGGCCAGCACTAATAACATTAGCTTTCTTATTCATCACGTTTCAAGTTATATCAGTTTTAAATGACAGTCTCAGACAGGAGGTCTGCATCAAAGCACGAGCTAGACTGGAAAATGTTAGCTGTATTTAATGTTATGCGCCGGAATTTTCGGGTTTTAAGAAACTTGGAACCTGATCTTATAGAACCGGGTCTCTATCGTGGGCGGCTGTGGCTCAGGAGGTAGAGCGGGTTGGCCGTTAATCGGCCTGGCTCCCCCTGGTTGCGTGTCGAAGTGTCCTTGGATAGATACTGAACCCCGAATTGCCCCTGGCGGCTATTCCGCCAGTGTATGAGTGAGTGTGAATGTTAGTTTCCGTTTGAGCACTTAGGCTCAGTGTATGAATGTGTATGGTGAATGCAGATGTAGTGTAAAAGTGCTTTGAGTGGTCGAAAAGACTAGAAAGGCGCTATACAAATACGGAGCATTTACATTTACATCTATCCCCATCCCTAGCTAGCAAAGCTAAAGGCATTAAGTTACGGTAAGGTCCTACTGCTGTGGTGCATTAAATGCTTTTTTCTCTCAAAGATTGAAAGATAGTTTAACATGTTGGATTAAGTTAAGGCTTTTTACGTGTAAAGGTTTAATTACACTTATAGTAATGAGAATTTACCAACTGGACTTCACAGTACTTATGCCTATAAGGGCTTTGCTCATGTATTTAATGGCACATTGGAGCTAACGTTAGACATCAACTCTGTCATGTTCGCCCTTCGGGAATTCTGTGTTTTAAGGTTTTAAGACATACAGCCAGCTGCAGTGTAGGTGGACATCGTTATTAAGTTGTTCTACAATGCGGCTTCAATTGAAATGCAAAACAATGATTTAATAAGTAATTTAGAGACACATACCACATACTTTCAACAAGGAAAATGGCGCAGTAAAAATTCCTGTTGGTTGAAGGTTGAAATCCCAGACAAGGAGTTGGATGGGGCTTTCCGGTGTAATTCTTTCACCAAGTCTTTTAAATACGAAAAACTACACCAACAGTGGAAGAATCTTACTCTAGCTGTTGTTGTAATAACCATGAAAGAATCCATGTACTTTGACCCTGAATATGTTTGACTAAAGGAATCTACTGTGTAGCTGGCTTGTGTCACGTAGATGAATCACTTGCTTCTGTCTGGTTTGCGATGCAGCCCCCAGCTAACCAATCCTGTTTCAGACTGATGTTGGCACCACCTACTCTATTAGCATACAGGCGCAGGGAAAAATAAATGTGGAAATACAGGCATAAATAAATTTGGAAATACAGAAAGAAATGCATGTAGAAATGCATAAATAAATACAGAAACAGCCTTTTTTTTACTACAAATATATATATAGATATATAGATAGACAGATAGATAGATAGATATCTTTTGGTCCCTCATAGGAAACACTTTACTTCTATTGTTGATTAAGGCCAGCTTCTAGCTAACGCTATCAAACAACAGTTTTCATTTGTGTTGCTGAAGGTGAACTAACTTAATTACCTGTCCAGCAGAAAACCGGCAACTTCAGCGCAGCTTTGAAAACATTTGTCCTGCATCAGAGCCTTCTATCTGGGAAAATCCAACATTATATCCTTTATTTCTGCCATCATCTGTTTGCATCTGTCCCGACTTCGCCTGGCTTCATCATGTTTTCATTTCTTTGTCGACGAAGATCTGCTACACTGTTGGCTTGTGCCAAATAATACGTGTAGTCCTCCATTTGTCCAAATTTCACTTCTATTCTTACTTACTTAAGGTTCAGTGTCATCTAGTGGTGAGGATTATGCAATGCAACCATTGGCTCACGGTGCATTCATGTGCTCCTTGGATGGTTCCATTTCCCAAGTTGTGAAGTTCTTCTTCCGACTTCAGTGTGTGTTCATACGCTCCTCGGAATGTGGAATCAACATGGACGCTACTGCAAAGAAGTGTTGAATTAGCATTAACAGAGCATATAAACAACATGCAGACATCTAGTTCACTCTACATGGACAGCAAATTAACCGTAACAATACTACAAATTGCAAAATATGTATAGGCAATAAGTGATTTTGCACAAATCAGAGTTCTGTATACTTCTTATCCCTTGTACACTTTATTTCTCTTTTTAGTAATAAAGATTTAAAGAGTAAAATGGATATTTACAACATATAATCGATTCATATTTTCACTAGGTAATAAGGTTAATAATGCAACACAGGGTGTAAAAAAGATGAAGTCGTAGTTTCTTTATGCTACTCACAAAAACACGTTATATACAAAAATGATATACAGTAGATCGGTGGATAAATAACATGTCATAGAAATACAACTATTTTACATGTGAGTAGGTGAGTTTATTGCAAAAAACAGTGAGACTTACAGGTGATATGGTGTGAGCAGTCCAAAACACAACATAAATCCACAAAACACAGGAGACACAAATTCAATTTCAATTCAAGAGAGAATTGAACAAGAAACACTGGAGAAACACTGGCATGGAAAACAATGAACTGGCACAGCATGAAGGGGTAAACTACTTAAATACAACAGGAGGTGAGAGCATAATGACACACAGGTGAACTCACTAGACAATCAGAGAAGCAGGAAGCAAAGAGAGACAGTGACACATGAGGCAGACAAAACTACAAACTAAAACAGGAACTTAAGCTCACATAATACACAAGCCATGAAATCACAAAATAAAAGACAACACAGTGCCGTGCAGACAAAACCTACCAAAGCAAAGAACACAGACAGCAAAAGAAGATCAGAACACTAGTAAAACTCAAAACAACAAGGAAACATGACGAACAAAACAAATCCCAAAAGTAATAATACACACTACAGAGAAGAGCAAAAACAAGGGCAGGGAATGAACACAGAAAACAAATACAAAACACACCCAACCAACCCAAACCCGTGACACTGGGGATGAATTTAGTCTCACAGTCTGAGGGAAGAAGTTGCTCTGCAGTCTGGTGGTGCGACAGCAGATACTTCTGCAACTAGATATTTGACTTTCTCACAGACCCCAGACAGTTTGGAGTGGTGGTTACACCTCCTCTACTCTAGTCACCTGGATATGGAGAGAACCTCTGTTGTGAAGTCTGCTGACGACACCACTATCATTGGATGGATTTCAAACAATGATGAGACTTCATATCGGGAGGAAATCAACAGTCTTGCAGAGTGCAGCAAAGACAACAACCTACTGCTCATCGTGACTGGAAAAATCCCTAACTGGCATGGGATGTGCACGGCCCAGGACCGGAGGGCTCTGCTTCTGGGAAGAGATAGACAAGTATCTGCTGTTGTACCACCAGACTGTAGAGCAGCTTCTTCCCCTAGACTGTGAGACACTTTAAATTACTCCACCATGTATTAGTTTTATTAGTTTTATTCTATGGTTTTATTTCTATGAAATATTTATCCACCCATTAACTGTATATTAATTTTTTTTATGTTTGTTTTTGTGAGTAAAATGGAATTACAACTTCATCTTGTTTTACAATCCTGTGTTGTAAAATGATAGAGCAGTGAAGCGCGTTCATATCCAACACTGTAGTTGTGTTTGACTTCTCTATCTTCTCTGCTCTTCCCAGGTACTGACTCCATCTTCTATGACATTGACAGTGACACCTCTCTGACAAGTCTAAATGACTGCTTCATGGCCACTCCAGATGTAGGCTCCTTGCAAGTTCATGTGGGGAACCCCATTGACCGCCTGTACTCAATGCAGAGCTCCTACTTTGCCTCCTGAGACCCCGCCATCATTGTTGGTATTACCCCACCCACCAGACCACCTCCCAGGCCATAAACAGTGAGCATACAAACAGGATAGAATCCACCAAATATACCTGACTGACCTCCAGCAGCCAAAGGAAAGGTTAAACTTCACATGCCTCCACATGCCCCCCGCTATCGCAGTACATTTGACTTTTCAACTGGGTTCATTTGTAGCTGTCAGTATTTGTACAGATATCACAATGGTAGTGTTTATTATTGCTATGAAAAGTTGGACTGAAGTTCGAGTCAGAGATTTGAAAATGTAGTCCACATCAGTGTCACAGAAACATTAGTCAACATGTGGCTTAGTATGTAACTTAGTTTAATAGTTTTTAATAGGTATTAATAAGGCTATGTTATTTTTAATGGGACAATAAGCAAATATAGTTTAGTAGAGCCAACTACCAATCTTTTCTGGTTAATGCCAACTAAATGATAACTGTTGCTGAATGTATATAATGTATATGTAAAAACTGTTCTTCAGAACCAATCCAGTTTTGCATGTTAGGATGGACCGCAATTTATTTATTTATTACCAACATGCTGGTATACAATAAATCAAAAATTTATATTTAAAAAAGACAATATGATCCCATTGTAAAGTTAAAAAACAATAATTAATTATTGTATTCTGCTATTTATCATAGTATTTGTGTTGTTGAGTTTGTAAATTATCATCGCTCATCGCTATTTATTTTTTTCCAGTGAGATCATCTGGACATTATTAAGAGTGCATTTTATATTTGCTAACTTATCAGAAGTGTTACTCCAAATAAAAAAATGCATTCCCTGGAATTCTCGTCATCTTTTGTTGAGTAACATGACTGTCAACAAACATTGGCAGGAAAATTCCGATATGGGTAAAAACAACATCAACAAGCTGTGAACAACAAGACTGATAAGTCACACTGGCAGCTCTGTGAGGCTGTGCTAAGGCACATTATATATAAGATGTTAACATGTACCTGCTTAGACATAACAAGCTTATATATGCGTATGTGAGCATGCTTACATTTTTTTTAATTAGCACTAATCACAATGCTGAGGCTAATGGATGGGGATGTCAGTTTTGCAGGTCTTTGGTCATCAATCAAACTACAGTACAGTTGGATAAATTTAACTTTTGATAGGACAATATTAAATGAAAAGTAAGAGGATCACCAAAGTTATTACAGTTTGTCCTGAGGGCATCTTGAAGGTCTGTATCAAATTTTGTCCCGATGGTGGTGCTAGATTGGAAAGTCAGGGGATCGCCACAGTCATTGAATCATGTAGGGATGATGAATATTAGTATCAAATTTTATGGCAATCCATCCAATAATTGTTGAAACCTTTTACTAAAAACCAAAAACTCCCTGCTACATGACAAGTCGGGAGATTACCAAAGACAGTAGGATTCATCCTTTGGAGACCATATATGGCAGGGAAACAACTTATGCACACACTTCACTATTTGCCAAGAATTTTCAGTCTGGACCAAAGTTATTGACTGACCAACCATCGGACATTGCCATACCTAGAGCCATGCTGTTATTGTGGATAAAAAAACACCTCATGAACCTCAAATGACACAGAAACAAATACACAGAATACAAGAAAGCTACCAGACTGCATGGCTAACAGCTACAATATTTTGCAAGCCTTTGTTGATTCAGGAGCAGATGAGAGTTTTTTGGACAGAAATATAGCCAAACAGTTGCCACCATTCCCCTGCAAGACCCTCTAGTGGTTAATGCTTTAGATGGCAGACTTCTGGCCCGAGTCACTTCCAGAACCTCCCCACTGCAGCTCCAGCTCTCCAGTAACCATCATGAGCAGATTAGTCTATTCATCATTGACTCCCCACTCACTCCGTTAATTCTTGGACACCCCTGGTTAGTTAAACACAACCCCTGTATCGATTGGTCCACGGCCAAAATCACCAGTTGGATCCCCACCTGTCATTCGGAGTGTCTTAGATCAGCCTCACCTCAGTTGGTCCCTGTACCCAGCTCCTCAGCTCCTACTCCTGACTTGGCTCATGTTCCCCCTGTGTACCATGACCTCTGGGATGTGTTTAGTAAACAACAAGCCCTGACCTTGCCGCCCCCACCGTTCCTATGATTGCGCCATTGATCTGCTGCCAGGCGCCCCCCTACCAGGCAGTAGACTCTTTGGACACTGGAATCATTAGGCCTTCCTCCTCTCCCCAAGGGGCAGGCTTCTTTTTTGTAGAAAAGAAGGATAAGAGTCTGCGCCCATGCATTGACTACCGGGGTCTCAACAATATCACCATTAAAAATAAGTACCCCTTACCTTGTCTGAAGCATTTGATTCCCTGCAGGGGGCGACCATTTTCGCTAAACTTGACCTTCGTAGCGCCTACCATCTAGTCAGAATTGGACAGGGGGACGAATGGAAAACGGCGTTTAACACTTCCTTGGGTCATTTCGATTACCTACTGATACCCTTCGGTTTGACAAATGCCCTGGCCGTGTTTCAGTTTCTCATAAATGACGTCTTAAGGGATATGCTGGGCCGAGCATCCTTTTGTCGTCTGGACTGATCACAAAAACCTGAAGTACATCAGATCCGCCAGACGACTGAACTCAAATCAGGCCAGGTGGGCTCTGTTTTTTGGACATTTCAACTTCTCTTGGACTTACAGACCCGGCTCTTGAAACATAAAACCCGACGCCCTATCCAGAGCCTTCGAGGAGGAGAACGTGACCCCAGCTCCGGACACTATCCTGCCCAACTCCTGCATCGTCGGAGCTATCACTTGGAGCATCGAGAAGGAGGTGAGAGAGGCTCTCTGTAACGACCCAGGTCCCGGTAATAGCCCACCTGACACCTTATTTGTTCCACTCTCACACAACATGGGCACATTCCTCCAAGTTAACTTGCCATCCCGGAGTCACTCGCACCCTAGCATTTCTCCGCAGGCGTTTCTGGTGGCCCACGATGGAGGCCAAGTCATTTGTTCGCCCAGAATAAGGGATCTAATCAACCCAGCACTGGACTGCTTCTTCCCCTCCCAGTTCCTCGATTCAGTAAGTTTGCTCGTTTTCTGCCCATACCTGGACTTCCTTCTGCTAAGGCTACTGCTGAGGTCCTGGCTAAGGAGATCCATGGCTTGCCTTGTGATATTGTCTCTGATCGTGGACCCCAGTTCACCTCAGCTCTTGCCACGGTGAGCCTGACCTCCGGTTTCCACCCCAGTCCAACGGCCAGGCGTGCCAACCAGGAGGAGACCAGGCAGCGAAGAGTCTTTTCCAATTCCTGGTTGGAAAAGACTCTTCGCTGCCTGGTCTCCTCCAATCCATCCTCCTGAGCCTCCCAAATCCACTGGGTCGAATACGCTCAACCCACAACAACCAAGCCCACATCCGACGCTGCCACCGGACATGGCACCGAGCCCGTGCATCCGTGCTTCGGAGGTTAAGGCCGCTATCAAGATCAGGCCAACCGTCGGCGCACTCCAGCCCCGAAATACTCCATGGGCGACAAGGTATGGCTCTCCACTAAGCATCTGCCCCTGAAGACTGATTCAAGGAAAGTGTCACCCAGGTTCATTGGCCCCTTCCCTGTTGAGAAGATCATTAACCCCGTCACCGTTCACCTTAAGCTTCCACGTTCCCTCAGGATTCATCTATCCTTCCATGTTTCCTGTATCAAACCTGTCTTCATTAGCTCTCCGTTGCCGCCCCCCTCAGATTATCGACAATGCACTGGCCTTCACTGTACGGAGGATTTTGGACTCTCAACATCGTGGCCGGAGTTTCCAGTTCCTAGTGGATTGGGAGGGGTAGCCGGAGGAGAGGTGCTGGATTCCTCTGCGTCAGATACTGGACCCTGCTCTGGTGAGGGGGTTCCATCAGAGGCACCCGGGGAGGCCAGGTGAGCCGCCAGGTGGCGGCCGTCGGGGAAGGGGTACTGTCACGAGGCCCCGGCTGTGAATGTTTGTCTGGAGTGCGTGTTGTGAGCTTGTTGTGTTTTTGTTTGTATGTCTCTGCTTGGCTCTCTCTCTCTCCAGTCTGGGAGCAGGGGGCGTGTCTGCTGCGGGCTCTGCTCACACCTGACCCATCCTCATCAGCGCACCTGACCTTTGTTCCATAATCAGCCACGGCTGAAGTAGGAGGCTCAAACATCCCGTCCCCGCTGGATCGTTGGGTATTCACGCGTATGTCGTGTCAGCCCCAACCAACCTCGGAATCTGTCTTTGTCTTTTGAATTGTTTTTTGCATCGGTCTAACCTGTTGTCTCTCTGTCTCAGAAGACCTCCATCAAGCCTCAGCAAACCACCAGCCAGAAAGCTCTCAGTTCCGCCCACAGCCTGGTCATTCCCCCGCTCCCAGTCCGCCAGCAACAACCTCGGATTTCCCCCTATCCTGGATCTGGAAGGGAGCCTCTTCCTCTAACTCCTGACTTCCCCCGCTCAATCTCTTTTTACTTAGATCTGTATTTGGGTCTTCTCTACTGGGGAAAATCTGACATATATAAATACACACATATAGTATAGTGGTACTTAGTGAGGAAAAAACACAAAAACATGCTGTGTTTGCCAGAACAACCACTGCAGCTTCTTTGTCTATCTTTGTCTATTTTTACAAGTTTGGTTGCCCCTCCCCTTCTGCTTCGCAGCCAAGATGGTGGTTGTTGGATTCTTAAGGTGTGAAGTGTCCAGCGTTCCACACTCAAATTTTGAACATTTCAAAGGTACCATCCAGGTACTCGCAGTGCACAGCATTTTGCAATAATTGTCAGTGCGAATGCACTTATGCAACCAAATTACAGAAGAACGCAAATTGAGACTCGGCTATTGAATCATAATAGCCACCTATGTGTGAAAACACCAGGTTGAAATAAACTGCTTATCCGTGAACATTTAAAGCCTTTCATAACTTTTATAACTCATTTGACAATGTTTTGCTATTTATAACAGTACCTCTGTGGAGGTAGTTTGTGTAATGTTTCTCCATATGTAATTGATGTTTCAGGCAAGACAAAAACAACGTATTTAAAGTGCCGGTCGATTTGGCGACACTTGTGGTTACTGGTGGTAGGAGCAATTGTGGTTTATTACTAGAGCAAACATTCATTCAACGGCTCAGAAATACAACTGAAAAGCAAATGTGTATCTATTTACAGTGAAACTAAACAAACTCAGGTTGTTTAAATAAAGAAGTCAGACAGTAACAATTGCAACCTCAATATGATTTTATGCTGCACATACTGTGAGTAGTTTTCCACACCACAGCAAAACACAGTTAAGGAGTAGGTTATTTAGCTGAGGAGCCGAAGGTGTGTGGCCAGACACATTTTTGATGAATGACCGCGGTCAGAGCTAACCTCAGTGACACATACAATGTGTTTCCGGGGACTGCTTTACAAAAAATCCAACACTGTTAATGAGAAGCAGCAGCAGTAGGACATTTTGGTTTGGGTTAACATTAGCAGTAACTAAATCCAGCTCTGATACAGCTGTATGAGAGTGAGCAGTAAACAGTCAGGCTGATATCAATTAGATTAAATTACAGTAACACAAGATCACATCCTGCATCGTTTCCTGTCAACCCCTCTATGGTAGGCAGTTTGAATCCAGCGTGGAAATGGCTTATTCTGCCACTAGCAATAAAAACTACAATATAGACAGGTGATTATAGAATGTGAATGGCTATGGCTATATATAAAAATGCCACCTGAGGACAACACAGACTGTGGATACTTTTAAACACGGCCTTAAGACCCACCTTATTAGCAGAGCTTTTGGTTGATTTGTAC